ACCTTCCCCTTTTTGAACCCTTTCTTCGAGAAGTTGGAGGACCCCGACCTCGTGCTCCCCAAGTTGGTGCCCCAGATTTTGGACCCCGTGTTGGGGGGTTACGTGCGCTCCATCCGGGGGGGGAGGGACCCGGAGGGGCTCTGGTTTTTTTGGGGCCTTTCCAAAAACCTGCATTCGGGGATGACGGGGGAGGTGCCCGAACCCCCCCCCCCCCGCCCCTCACGCCCGTCCACCCCGCCCCAATGCCCCACCCTCCTCCTTCGAGCGTCCGCGCCCACGGCCCTGCCCGCGCCTCCGCGTCCCTCGCAGGTGCCGCGCGTCTTTGAGGCCGTCTTCAAGTCGACGCTCGACATGATCACGAAGAACTTCGAGGACTTCCCCGAGCACCGCTCCAACCTCTTCAACCTGCTGCGGGCGATCAACCACCACTGCTTCCCCGCCCTCCTCCAAGGGGCCGACAACTTCACGCTGATCATCGAGTCGATCAAGTGCCCCCCCCGCGCCCGCCCGCCCGCCCCGCCCCGCCTTTCGCCCAACCGCCGCGGACCCTTTGCCGCCTCGCCGCAGGTGGGCCTTCAAGCACACGGAGCGGACCGTGGCGGAGACGGGGCTGCACACGCTGCTCGAGCTGCTGCAGAATGTGCAGGCGTCGACGGTGATGAACGCCTTTTATGTCCAGTACTACCTCGGGCTGCTGCAGGACGTGTTTGCCGTGCTGACGGACACGTTGCACAAGCCGGGCTTCAAGCTGCAAGCGATGATCCTGGCGCGCGCGCCACCCTCTTCGCCATTCATCCCCCTCGCCCCCCGCCGCCGCCAACGAGGCCGGGCTGACCCGCATCCCGCCCCTCGCAGGCGCACCTCTTTGTCGCCGTCGAGTCGGGCGCCATCACCTCGCCGCTCTGGCCGCAGGACGGCTCCGTCGCGGCGACGTCAAACGGCCAGTACGTGCGCGAGCTGCTGCTGCAGATGTTCACCACCTCGTTTCCAAACCTGACGGCGGCGCAGCTTCAGTCGACGATCGCGGGGGGGCACTTGAACCTGGGCCTCCGCCCCCCATCCTGGGTGTGCCTTGATCGCCCCGCCCCCCCCCCCCCCCTTCAGGCATGTTTGAGCGGTGTAAGGACCAGTCCGCCTTCAAGCAGCACCTCCGCGACTTTTTGGTGCAGGTCAAGGAGTTTGGGGACTCCACGGACCTGTTTGCGGAGGAGCGGCAGCAGGAGCTGGAGACGAAGGCCAAGGAGGTCCGAACGCGGCAGGAGCAGATCCCGGGGCTGCGCAACCCTCACCAGCGCAACGACGACATGACTATGGACTGAGCGGGGCGGAGAGAGGAGAGGGGTTGGAGGGGGCGGGGCGGGGGCGGGGGGGCTGCTGCCGGCTGCAGTCGCCCCACGCTGCGGCGGCGGGCGCGACGCGGCGGCGGTCGCTCCCGCCGGCGGGCGCGCGCAGGGGCGCCGTCGCCGCCGCCACCATTGCTACTGCTGTTGCTGCTGCTGCTGATCTGCTGCTGCTGCTGCTGCTGCTGCTGCTGCTGCTGCTGCTGCTGCTGCTGCGAGGCCGCCGCGATTCGCACCGCGGCACGAGCGTGTCGGGCTCGTGCGTTTTGCGCCCCCCCCCCCCCCCCCCCTTTCACTTGCGGGACATGGCGTTGAAGGGGACCCCGAGGCTCTCGCGGGGCACGCGCCGCCCTACTGTACGGTGCCTCTGCCTCGCGCCCGGGGCGTCTGTATCCCTACAAGTACTTTTTCACGTTTCTCACACGGCTCGCACCAAATAAAATAATTAATAAAGACTCGCACATCGGAGTTCGGACGCCCCGCGCGCTCAGTGGCGCTCATCCGTCGTCATCGGTCTCATGGCCATCTCTCCACACTCCATACCTTGGCGCCCCTGCCCTCCGAACGTCGCCCTCGGCCAGGTCGCCGAGCATCTGACGCATCGTCCTCTGTGCGTCGCGCCCGAGCCCCTTCGCCCACTCGGCGCTCCTCACCGCCACGCCGGCGAGGATCTGGCCAACCGCTTTGGCGCCGACGCGACCAAACACCTTGTTGATCGCCTGCGGCATCAGCTGGTCAAAGAGGAGGCCGTCGAGGAAAGTTGTCAGGTCGAGGCCGCCGCCATCCTTTGCGGCCACCGGCCGAAGGAGCAGCGCCTTGACGACCACAACGTCGGTGACCTCCGCCACGCGCTCGCAGAATCGCCGCTCCTCGCTCTCCGTCCGCCTCAGGCCGCCGCCCTTTGCGGCCGCCCCGCCTACCGCGCCACCGCCGTCGATGCCCAGCCCTGCCGCGTTCGTAATCTTGTTCAGCGCGCCGGAAACAAAGTCGCCACCCGCCCCTGCCGACCCGGCCGCCTCCACGTCCGCCGCGCCGGCCGCCAGCGAGCGGCTCGAGATTCTCCCCTCTCTCGGGCTCTTTTTGAGGTCCCTCTCGGTGTCGCCCTGGTAGCCGGTGAACAGGTCCTTGATGCCGACGCTCACGTCGCGAAAGGAGACCTCACCGCACGAGAGCCGCAGCGGCAAGCTGCTCAGCGCCTCGCGCAGCTCCGCGACGCTGCCCAGCCGCAGCGCCGTCTCGCCAGAGTTCTCCTTGAGCTGCTCCAGCGCGGTGCGCCGCTTGGGCGGCGGCGGCGGCGGCAGGCAGCCGGCGTGCATCCAGTGCAGGCGCATGTCAACCTCGCCGGAGAAGCCTTTGCCGAGCTCCGAAGGGCCGAGCGCGCGCACCGCCGAGCCGCGCAGCTTGGCGTCGGAGAGAAGGAAGGTGCCCGAGACGGAGCCGTCGCGCGAGCGCGCCAGCGGCGGCGCGTGCTTGCAGTAGTCTGGCTGCGTCACCAGGTACTTGAGCGTGAGGACCCACTGGCCGAGCAGCTGGTCGCGGCCGACGGACGAGTAGACGCACACGTGCAGCACGGTGGACGGGTCAGAGACACGCAGCAGCATCTCGTCGTCGAAGACCCACTCCCCGCCAGACCCCTCCGCCCCGCCGACCAACGTGCCGATGGTGGTCAGCAGAGCCACGCCGCGCGCTCGCACGACGCAAAACGGCTTGGTGCCGCTCCGGCGCAGGCCGCGGACCGCGCCGATGCGCAGGCGCAGGAGGTTTGGCAGCGCCGGCGCAGGCTGTCGGCGGCAGCAGCTGCGCGCCCTGGAGGCGAGCGCCGCGCGCACCTCTCGCTCCGCAATCTCGCGGGTGAGTGCGTTGATGTTGAGCTGGCCCTGGTACAGCTCGAAGAAGAGCTTGACGCGCTGGACCCGAGTCTGCTCGAAGTGGACCGGCACGGGCTGAAGCCTGCCCGTGCGCAGCAGCTCGCGCAGCCACCGCAAGTCGATCGTGAGCAGAAAGTCGAGCGCGCCCGCCGACACAAAGTGGCGGTGCGGGCAGTCGAGGGAGGGCGGGTTGGAGAGGGAGAAGTCCTCGACGTAGAGGCGGAGGCGGAGGCGCGCCGGCCGCAGCTCCAGCCACGGCGAGAGGTGGATGGCGCCGAGGGTCAGCGGGTAGCCGAACAAGCCGAAGCGCGTGACGGCCTGCGACACGGCCCAGCCGAGCAGCCGCGGCAGCCGCAGGTAGGCGTACCCGAGCAAGGCGGCGGCGACGAGCCAGGGGAAGGCGACGAGGGCGAGAAGCAGGAGGGGCAGCCCGAGCAGCGCGATCGCGCAAGCGTTGCGCGGCGTCGGGCGCGGCCGCAGGTCGATGGGCGACGGGAAGCAGGCCGAGGACACCGCGTCCGAGGAGGAGGAGGACCTGCGGCCCGTGGCCCGGCGCCACTCCCAAACCGCATGCCCGTTATTCCATTGCCCCAATGGATCTGACCAGCTCGAGTGCCTCGGCCCGCGAGCCTTCCGCCCCCTCGCCCGCGCCTGCCGCCCCCTCGTCCGCGCCTGCAAGAGGGACGCCGCCCTGGCGCGATCGAGGTAGCTCTGCTTGGGAGGAGCCATAGCCGGCGGCGCGATCTCGTCGACGTGCAGCCCAGGCAGGAGATAGCTCTGCTTTGCCGGCGGCGCGATCTTCTCGACGGCGTGCAGCCCAGGCAGGATGTCGAGGGCCACCGCCGCCGCCGGCTGCTGCGGCTGCTGCGGCTGCTGCGGCTGCTGCGGCTGCTGCGGCTGCTGCTGCCCCTGCCCAGGCGCCATGTCGCGGCACCGCGCCCACGCCGACTCGGCTTTGGCGTCCAGCACCGACGTTAGCTGGTCGAGCAGCTCCATCGCCTCCCGCCTCTCCCTCTTGGGAAACAGGTGCGCCGCATTCTTAGCGCGCAACGCCTCGACTGACGGCGCGCCCGAGCTAAAGAGTCTCGTCGGCACGGCAAGGAAGCCACCGAGGAAAAAGCCGCCCATTTTCCGCCTCGTGCTTCGCCCGCGCACGCATGCCTGCAGCTGAACGACAGCGAGCTCCTGCTCGTCCGTCTCCGCTCGGCCGCGCTCACGCGGGTTTCGGCGCGACGAGGCCTTTGATCTGGCGAAGAGCTTTCGCGGCGTCAGCGGCATCGGAGGCCGTCGCGGCGGTGGCAGTCTACAGGTGAGCAGAGGGCGAAGGCGAGAGCAAGGAATGGCGGTTTGGGGCAGGTTTGGGGGCGGGTGGTGCAAAAATCTTGGCAGGCGGGTCACCTCCCAAGCCCGGGGACAGGATTTATACGGTGCCCATGCCCATGGCGACGTTTTTCCTCAGAGGGGCCGTGCCACTCCCACCGTGATGCTCCTCGCCATCATCGTCACCACGTACCATGACGTGTCAGCTCGTCAGCTGCGGACAGGCAGGGACCCCAAAAACAAGACTGGGACCCCTGGTGCGGGGGCCTTCGATGGCTGTCAGCGCTCCTCTGGGCTTGGCATCACACCTCCCAACCACGCACGTAGCTGAAGCAAGTGCTCGTAGAAACGGACGGCGCGTCAAATGCAGCATCCAGGCGTTTACGCATGATTTTCCTGAGGGAGGGTGTAGAGTGGTGGCGGACGAAAGGCGGTGGTGCGTGCTCGGGAGAGGATGTCGGCGAGCGCCAGCATACCGCTCGGCTTTGATCACAGTTCCTTGCCCTCGTCGCAAGTCTAAACTTACGTCCCCACCAGCCACCGCTCGCGACCACAGCCATGGACAACCGCCGGTCGTCCGTCCGCTCGACCTCACCGCTGGTCGAGGGTGAGTCGTCCCGCAGCAGCGCCGCCGAGTTCACCCTCCTCGACGCCGTCCTGGCGGAGCTCGCTCGCCGGGGCATGCCAGACGAATACGCGGAGTGGTTCATCGACAACTTTCCGAGAGAGATGCTCGGGGATCCAGCACCCCCAGCCGATTCCCTTGCAGAGTTGTTCGATCGCGCGTATGCAGATCAGACCAGCGAGGATCCGGCGGTGGAGCCAACCATAGCACGCGTGGCAACGTTGGCCCTGTCCAATGCCGGAGCAATGGCCCGCGCTAGAGCGGCGGCGGCTGCCGCTGAGCGGAGTGGCGAGACGGCCGCAGACGATGCGGCTACCTATGCGGGTGAGTACACCCCGCCGCGCCCGCCGCCGCGGCGGGCCAGCAGCGCAGCGCCTGCCGCCTCCGAAGCATGGTCGGTTGGCCGGCCGGTGATTGTTGTGGCGGGAATGCCGGTCGTACCTGGTGACGCGATGCCCGACGTCGAGGCAGGCAACGTGGCAGGAGGCGTCCAGGGCCAGATTAAGCAGCAGCTCTTTGGCCGACGCTATCGGCTGATTATCCTCGGGCTCTGCTTGCTGATGACAGGGATGACGATTGCAGTCGGCGCTCTCGCTGGGGAGTTGGTTGTGCTCAGGACACCGTCACCTCCGCCACCTCCCTCGCCATCACCGCCGCCGCCGCCTCCATCGCCATCGCCGCCACCGCCGCCGCCCTCGCCCTCGCCACCGCCGCCGCCTCCTCCATCGCCCTCGCCGCCGCCGCCACCATCGCCGTCACCGCCTTTGCCTGCTGGCGTCGTGAGGTGCTCATCGACAGTGTGCCTTTCGCCCGTAGCGACCGCACAGTGCTCTGGTCACAACCCACGGCCCTGCACGTCTGCGGTTCCCATTGGAGGCACGTGCGAGGCCGACGGCGAATGCGCTCTTGCTGACATCGACAACTGTGAGCTCTACGACGTCTACACTCGAGTAGCTTGCCCGTCTACCTCTTCGCCGCCGCCGCCGCCGCCGCCGCCGCCCTCGCCGTTGCCACCACCTCCGCCGCCTCCCTCGCCCTCGCCGCCGCCTTCGCTGTCACCGCCGCCGCCGTCTTCGGATGGCGTCACGCTGCACGTCGGGACAGGAATCGCGTACCCGTCAGATAGCTGTACCCGCAGCACGGGAAATGACCGGATCAACTCGATTGCTGTCTCTCTGTCAACTGGAGCGGGAAACACCTTTAAGGTGTCCTTCTCGGTTGACTACACGCCTTCTACTTCCGGAACCTACACAATGAGCTCCGGACTCTCGATGAGAATCGTCTACCGCTCATTTTCAGACACCACTTGGAGTGTTTTTGACACTGTTGCGATTCCTCCTTCTGCATTCACCGCCGGTGCTGCTAACACCTGGGATCCAGCGGGGTCGTTGACATGGCCAATGTGCGCAAGCCAGTGGCATTACTTCCGCGCGATGCTAATTGACCGCAGTAGTGGCGCTGACATGATCACTGGCACATGCGCCACGGGCGCCGGATCGCGACACTATGATAATGTGGGTGTGTACGTTGGTGGGATATGCTAAATCAGCGGCACACGTATGCCAGAGCCGGAGGAGTTCATGGGTTCAATAGGTTAGGTGTGGTGCATGCAAGTCCATGACGGTTCGCATGTTCGTTTATATTCCTCACAAAGTGAGTAGTATTTCGTGAGGCTAATACAGCTGCCTTCGGGGAGGCGCGGCCGCGGTGTGTGTGTTATCCATCGCGTGGTCCGAGTGCTCGTCCAGCTGATCGTTGGTTGTATTTGTTGATTGGTCCTTTAAATCTCCTGGTTTGGCGTGCCCCGAGAGCTGCGTCTGGAGCTCCCGCGCCCGCCTCTCCCCGCTTGCCCGCCCGCCCGCCCGCCCGCCCGCCCGACCGACCGACCCCGACCGCCACCCATTCCCATCACCATCTCACATTACCTTCATATAGGCGCTCGAGACCTCCTCTCGCTGCCTACTCGCTGCCTCGAGGGAGGAGGGGAAGATGTCGAGCTGAGCTAGCCGCTCGCACGGCCGGAGGCCCCTCCCCGAAAGGCAAGTATTAGCCTCACGAAGCCGAGACCCCTCCCCCCCGCCCCGATCCCCCCACCCCCTTGCACCAAGGCTTGCTCCCCTCCCCCCCTCGGGAGGGCCGAAGAGAGGCGCCCGTGGGGACCCCGCAATTCCCTTCCCCCCTCGGAGGGCCGGACTGAGGCGTCGAGGGCCCCGCTCTTTCCTTCGCATAGCGGCCACTCTTCGGATCGCTGGTCGAGCGACCCGGGGGATGCCCCGCGCGCCTGATCCAGGCGCGAAAACGAATCTGCGAGGCGTGGCAGCCGCTCATGCGGCCCGATGGGGAGGAGTGGGGCGGACTACGGGGATCGGCCTCTTACACAATTGCTCTTACACTGCCCTTCCCTGCAGCGAGCCCCCCTCCAACCCACCCGCGCTAGGTCTCGGGGGACGCAGCGGTCACACCCGACGACCTCGGGAACTAGCCGGGGCAGTCGGAGAAGGGGCAACTGCGTGCACTGACGGTCGGCCGTCAGAAAACACGCCTCCGTGGCTCGGGTTACACCAATCCTCGCTACCCAACGCGGCCAAAGGATATCCACCTCGAGAACCTCGAAAGAAACAACCCAACCTCGAAAAGAAAGAAAACAGACAACCCAAGGGAGGGATGGGAGGACGGTACGCCGCCACCACACAGGGATTTAAGGCGTCACTGCGTAGAACGAATTCTTGAAGCTTCGGCCCGCACAAGTTCTACTGCGCCCGGCGCCGCTTCACCACGGGACATTCTCCGACGAGGGCGCTGGGTGGCGGTCGCGCGCGACGACGACGCGAGCGACGACAGCAGCAAGGAGCTCGATAGTCCCAAGACTCGGGCGGCCAAGGAGCTCCAGGCAAGGATGGCGCGGCTGACGGAGGAGCAGGAGGCCAAGAGGAGGGAGGCAAAGATGAGCGAGCCGAGTGGGCTGCTGCGCTCGGAGCGGATGTGCATGGTGCAGCTGATCGTGCAGCACGACGCCGCCCAGCACACCGTCGAGGAGCTCGGCGCCCTCGGCTCGCTCATGTTCATCGACCTCAACGAGGGCGTCACCGCCTTCCGCCGCACGTTCCTCCCCGAGCTGCGCCGGTGCGACGAGGCGGACCGGGCGCTGCGGTTCATCGGCGACCAGCTGGCCGCGGTGGGCAGTTCCCCGCCGCGCGCCTCGTGGCGCTCCGAGCTCCGCGTCTCTCTGCCGGAGCTCGTGAGCGAGCTGGAGGACGCGGTCAAGGAGGTGAGGCAGCTGCAGGCGTCGCAGCGAGAGCTCGCGTCCAACTACAACGCGCTCATCGAGCTGTCGCACGTGCTGCGGAAATGCGACGGCATCTTCTCCGAGGCGCGCCAGGGCGAGTTCGGCGACGGCGGCGTGCAGCAGGTGCACGCACGGCCCGCACGCTGTTAGCGCACACCGCTCTCTGCGCTCTCCGCCCCTCCAGCCCGCCCTCTCTCCGACCCGGCCTCGGCGCCGCCCCGCCGCAGGTGCCCCGCTCGCTCTCGTACGCCGAGCTGATCCGCGCGCCCTCGCTCGGCCTCTCGCTCGACTCGTACGGCAACCACGCCTCCTCCAACTACAACTCGGAGACGAGCGGCGACGAGCTGCCAGGCGCCTCCCTCGCCCGTCCGCCCCTCCTCGCCCGCCTCCCGCCCTGCGCCCCCCCCCCCCCCCTCTGCCCCCGCTCCGCAAGGCGAGCGCCACCCTCGCCCGGTCGGCGCGACACGCCCCGCGCCCTCCTCCTCCGCTGCGGCACCCTCCTCCTCCGCTGCTGCAGGCGACGAGCTCGACGGCGGCTCGGCGGCAGACCTGGAGAGGGGAGGGGCGCGGCGGCGGCGCGGCGGGGGCGACGGCGGCGGCATGGCGGCGCTGCGCGGCGGCGACGCCACCGCGGCAGGGCTGCGGCTCGGCTATGTGTGCGGGGTGCTCCCCACCGCGCGGCTCGCGGCGTTCGAGCGGGTCCTGTTTCGCGCGACGCGCGGCAACATGTTCATGCGCTCGGCGACCATCGACCAGCTGGTGCGCGACCCGAAGACGGAGGAGCTGCAGCACAAGGCGGTCTTCCTCATCTTCTTCTCCGGACAGCAGTCCTTCGCGCGGATGGCCAAGATCGCGGACGCGTTTGGCGCGCACCGGTACAACTACCCGGCAAAGTACTCGAAGCGCGCCGCGCTGCTCTCGCAGGCCCTGACCCGGCTCGACGAGCTCTCGCACGTGATCGACCACGTGGTGGCGCGCAAGGAGGCGCTGCTCAGCTCGCTGGCGGCGCGCCACGGCGCGTGGAGGACCCACCTCGCGCGGCAGAAGGGACTCTACAATGCGCTCAACCTGTGGAACTACGACCTCACGCGCAAGGCGCGCCGAGGGGAGGGGAGGGGCGCCCCCCCCACCGCCAGCCTCTCGCACACCGCGCGACTCCTCCCGCCCTCCCGCGCCCGGACGCGCGGCAGGTCCTGATAGCCGAGGCGTGGTGCCCCGCCTCCATGATCGAGGAGACGCAGGAGGCTCTGCGGCGGGCGACCAGCCGGTCGGGCGCGCACGTGCCGTCCATCCTCAACGTGCTCGAGACGGACGAGGCGCCGCCCACCTACTTCCGGGTCAACAAGGTCACCTCGGCCTTCCAGGAGATCATCGACACGTACGGCGTGCCCCGGTACGGCGAGATCAACCCGGTCGCCCTCCCCTCCCCCCCCCCGCGCGCGAGTGACACGCGACTGAGGCCGTGGAGCGCTCCTTTCAGGCCGCCTTCACTGTCATCACCTTCCCCTTCCTCTTCGGCGCGCGGCCCGCCCCTCCCCTCGCCCGTGCACGCCCCCCACAGTTCGCCCGCTCTCCCCGGACGGCGCGTGAGACCCACCGCGCCGTCCCTCGCACCCTCCGGCTCGCGAAATAGGCGTCATGTTTGGCGACGTCGGCCACGGCTCGATGGTCACCGCCTTTGCCCTCTATCTGTGCGTCAACGAGACGAAGATGCTCGCCCTCTCTGCGCGGTTGCGAGACGACATCATCACCATGGCGGTCCGCGGCCGGTGCACGCCGCCGCGGCCGCGGCTCTCCGCCGCCCCCCCCTCGAGGCCAGTGGCCGCACGGTCCTGGCGGCGGCTGTAGGTACATGCTGCTGCTGATGGGCATCTTCTCCATCTACTGCGGCGTGCTCTACAACGACGTCTTTGGCCTCATGGCGGACTTCTTCGGCACGAGCTGGACCGAGACGCCGCCACGCCACGGCGGGCCGCGCGAGCTCAAGGCGCATGGGATGGTCTACCCTTTCGGCATCGACCCTGGCTGGCACCGTTCAGCCAACGAGCTCTCGTTCGGCAACTCGTACAAGATGAAGCTCTCGATCGTGCTCGGCGTGGCACAGATGCTGCTCGGCCTCGGCATATCACTCGTCAACGCTCTCGCCGCCCGGAACGCGCTCGACGTCTGGTGCGACTTTGTGCCGCAGGCCATCTTCATGCTCTCCATCTTTGGCTACCTCGTCTTTTGCATCTTCTACAAGTGGTCGATCGACTGGGTGGCGGAGGAGCGCGTCGCCCCCTCCCTGATCACGCTGCTCATCTCCTTCTTCATGTCGCCGGGGGAAGTGCCCGCCGAGGCGCGGCTCTACGCGGGGCAGGAGAGGGTGCAGGTCCTGCTGCTGCTGCTGGCCTTTGTGGCGGTGCCTTGGATGCTCCTCGCCAAGCCGCTGCTCCTGCGGCGGAGACACCTCGCGCGCGCGGGCTACAAGAACGTGGCGTGCCGACCCACCGCGCGCGACGACCCGGCGGCGGCGCGCGGGCTGCTGCGGAGCACGAGAGACCACGACACCGACGAGGACTCCGTCTCGGTGGCCTCGTCCAACAACGGCAAGGCGTACGCCGAGGAGTTTGACTTCTCCGAGATCATGGTGCACCAGGTCATCCACTCGATCGAGTACGTCCTCGGGTGCGTGTCGAACACGGCGTCCTACCTCCGCCTGTGGGCGCTCTCGCTTGCGCACAAGCAGCTGTCCATGGTCTTTTGGGAGATGGTGATGCTGCCGCCCCTCCAGTCCTGCCGCGCCGGCGGCTCGTCGTGGAGGTGCGCCGTGCCGCTGTTCTTCGGCTTTGCCGTGTGGGTCGTGCTGACGACCGCCATCATCTGCTGCATGGAGATGCTCTCCGCCTTTCTGCACGCGCTGCGGCTGCACTGGGTCGAGTTCCAAAACAAGTTCTACAAGGGCGACGGCAAGAAGTTTGTGCCTTTCTCCTTTCAGACCATGGTCGAGAACATGGACGACGAAGAGTGAGGGGCTTGCGGGCGCCCGCCGCGCGCGCGGGCGCCCTCTGGAGGCCGAGGCGGCCCCGAGTGGCGTGGTGTCGTCCGTGTCCGCCGTTTGGCGTGTGGGCAGCCGCCCTCCCTAGTCCCTCTCCCCCTCTCCCCGCGTCCCCTCCGAATGCCTGCGTGGTGCCAGAGCCCCTGTGGCGTGACTGTCTCCCTGACCCTGTGAGGTTGTGTCGGGAAAATAGTAGTGGGTTGAGCCTGTCCCGCGGCGCAATTCTCGGCGCGTTTACCGCACGCACATCGCACGTTCCACGTACTGTAGTCCTGTACACACCCCGGTGAGCGGTGTTCACACCGCACGCGCGCGCACGAGCCTCGCTCGCACCTCGCAGACGCAGTTCGGGGGACGGGGAGGGCGGGCGGCGGGCGCAACGCCAGGCGCCTGTCAACGCGGGTGCTTCCGACGAGTGCACTCACACGTGAGGGGTGTGGCGGTCAGCGCCGTCGTGCCCGAGCCCCTGGCCATGCAAACTGGCGACTCGCGCAGGGCGAGCCGAGGTGCAGCGGCGGTGTTCATTGCGCCGCGGCCGCCGCGGCCGGCATGAGAAAGCGTGGAAAGAGCATGACGGACGGCTCGTCCCCGGTCTGGTACCCACCTGCGGGCAAGACGAGGCTGCCACGTCAAGACGCGATGGAAGGTGCGCAAGGCTGGCAGCAATGAGGGGCTACGCTGGGGGTGGGGGGGGCACTCACCCGTGGGCGCCGGCCAGTCGGGCAGGGGTGAGGAAGGCGCAGCCGGAGCCGCGCTGGCTGCCGTGAAGACCGGGGCGAGGACGAGCCCGGGTGCGGGCGACAGGTCCGGGTGGGACAGCGCTGCCGCGACGGCCCTCGAACGCTTGCCAGGCATCGCGATAGGACTCTTTGGTTGGTCCTCCCTGTAACCGAACCCTTCTCTGCAACCGCAAGCGCAACTACGAACCCCCAATCGATCCCCAATGAGCACCCCCAAAGACCAGCACAGTTAATTGTGTTACGGCAGAGGCCAGGACACGTCGCCGAACTGGGAGATTGCCCGAAAAATCATTTCGCGAACTGGGAGATTGCCCCAAATCATTTTTGCGTGACTGAAGACAACGACTAACCCCCCGCAAAAATGATTTTTGGCGCAGGACCGGCGCATGTGGGTGGGACGCCCGGGACCGGCACAATGAGCACACCGATCGTCTCCTGCAGCAAGTCGCGCTTGCCTTCAACAAACATATCGCGGCACGGCCGATGTGTGATGGTCGCGGCAAACCTTCTTTTCTGCACCCCCTAGCTAGGGGCTAGAATGGTTGGGTAGTAGGGGTAGAGGGTTGCCCAAAACTTAGACCTGCTCGCAGGCGAGCGCTGAACTAAGCCCCCGGAAGGAGACGGGCTCTCAAACTTAGACGCTGGTGATCGGACTCACGAACTTAGACGACACGAGGTGGCAGTTCCGGGTCTCTGCAGGAGCCCCCCCCCCCCCCCCCCGGGGGCCCAGCCACAGCCCAGCCAGGCCGCCCGGTCCGGCCCGCGGTCTGCTAAATAAAAAGTGTAAACCCTGGATATTTTGCACGACCCCATATGGGTCAAAAAGCTACAAGCGCCGTCGCCAGTTGCCGCGCATCGAGCCGCGCACGACCTCCTCTCCGCCTCTCTGTGCGCAAGTTGCGAGACGGCGCACGCCCGCCGCAGGCGAAGTCAAGAAAATTTTGAGGCAACCCTAATGATCACGGCCGACTTAGGTTCTTAGCCCGCATAAGAGGCTCCCGCCGATCTTAGACCGCGTAAGCAGCTAAGCACCCCAGCGTGACCGGTCACACTTAGACCCGATAAGCCTCGAGGCTCAGAACTTAGCCTACTACCCAACCAGCGGGGCTAGGCTCGGCGTCCCTCGAGGCGGGGGCGCGTCGCCATGGTGGACACGGTGTCGGTGTCCAGAGAACTGCGATAGGGTGCCCACAGGACCCAAAAGAAGATAGCTTTCCGGCTCAAAAAGGGACGCACGAGGCAAATCTGATGTTGGAGTGTTCCAAAAGGAGCGAGGCGTCTTCCGTTGGGGGACCGAGTGACTAGGAAACGAGGGTTCCCCATTGTGTCCCCTTCGCGTGCGAGCGTGACACTGCACTTGGCGCCGAGCGCCCGCGGCTCAGACCTTGTGCAGGCCTACCCTCATTGGACACGCCGGTCCGGACCGATGGCGCGCTCGGTGTGGGGCAAGCAAGACCCCCCCCCCCCCCCATCGGCGCGCGCCCGAGCTTTGAACGGCCGCCAGGAGCACCAAGAGGACTCCTCATGGCTGTGTCCAAGTGGGCTTCGACCGGCCTCGGCTGGGGGGGCGGGTTGTCCCGGTTGCGGACGCCTTCGAACGCATGCTTATATACAGCTGCTGTCTGTACAGAGATGCCAGCACCCCCCACAGGCAGAGCGCTGCTGGGGGGGGGGGGTGTCGGCCATGGCTTAGGTGTGCAGCTGCAGCAGGGGGGGTACCGAGCAGTGACCAGTGAGTGGCAGTGTGCGGCCGCTCTCCAATACTTATACATAAGGATATGATATCCTTTTCAAGCTTCAAAAAGAAGTTGCACAACGCTCAACGGGCGTGAACTGCAGATGTAGTAGTGTGTGTGTGTGTCAGAGGTCACCAAGGCGGGTCGCCCGGCCTGTCGCCCGGCGGGTAGGGACAGCGGCCGTCCGGCCGGGAGGCGAGCATGCGCTTGGCGATCGGCAGGAACTTTTGGTCCATCCCGTTGTACCCCTCGAGGTTGCACCACGTGATTGGCTTGGTGTCCCTACCGTCGGGCAGCGTGTGGTAGTCGCACAGCATCTGGCGCGGGCACGTGGTCGAGTTGGAGCGCTCGCTCAAGTCGATCCCCGCGCCCGACGAGCACGCGTCCGCCGAGGTCGGGAACACGGTCGGCGAGTGGAAGCCCCAGGTGCAGTTGATGCCGTGGAACGGGTTCTGCCAGTTGAAGCCGGCGCGGAAGTGTCCGCCGCCGTCCTCCGACGGGCAGTACCTGGACGACTCGGTCGTGATGTACCGCAAGACCGCGTTGAAGGCCGTGGCCGCCGGCGCCGAGCCGAGCCAGCGGCAGAGGCGGCGCAGGTCCGCGTTTGCAACCTCCAGCACGCGGAACTGCGGGTGGGACTGCCGCACGAGCCGCCCGACGTCCGCCATCGGCGTGCCGTACGGCAGCTCCACCGCGTCTGGCCCGTGCGGCCGCGCCTGCTCGCCCTTGCGCGCCACGGTGAGGGTGACCCTGTTGGCGCGCACCTCGGCGGGCATGTGCGGGTTGGAGAGGAAGGTGTGCTCGCGGAACTTGACCTTCTTGTCGTTCCACCGGTCGGTGAGGTAGAGCGAGTCCATCGGGCAGTTGAACGGCAGTCCCATCCCCATGACGTGCGGGTTGCGGCACTTGCTCAAGGCGTTCCAGTAGCGGTCGCAGAAGCACCAGAGCTTGGGCATGACCATGATGCCGCCCACCGCCGTGGCGAGACCGAGCAGGTCGCGCACGGCCTGCCGCTGCGGCGCATCCATGAACATGTGCCGCTGCGGGGACCACTCGGGGAAGCGGCGGTAGACCTGCTGCTTGTACTCCTCGTCGTAGCTCGCCCCCTTGAGCGCCACGAAGATGCCCTCGGTGAAGTACTCTGGCGGGTCCACCGCCCAGAGCGCGGCCTCGCGCGCGCGCTGCCGCTTGCCGTGCGGGTACTCCTTCGTGTCGCCAAACTGGAAGGTGAAGTGGACGGTGATGGGCTGGTGCTGCGGCTGCTCGTGGCCGTCCATCTCCTGCACGTTTTGGTTGAACCAGGTGTGGCCGCCCGTGAAGGGGCGCACCGGAAGCGTGCCAAACGTGAAGGTGGTCGCCGCGCAGCCGGCGCCGGGCAGGCAAGGCTCGTGGGACGAGCCCGTCTGGTGCACGCGGCGGTAGTTGCCGGGGAGCGACGCGAAGGCGTCGGGCGGCGCCGCGACGCCCTCCGCGCGGCGCGAGCGCAGCCAGGCCTGCAGGTCCTTCACCTCGCCGCCGCTGACGACCTGGTTGAAGAGGGACTGGTCGTTGACGTTCTCCGTGAGGTGCTTGCCCCCCTTTTGGCGCAGCATCGCCTTGCGCCAGCTCTGCACCATCGCCTTGGCGCCGCGCGTCCCTCGCAGGTAGACCACGCCCGTGTTGAGCTCCGCCGAGACGCCGCGGCCCGAGTCGTCGTGCGTCGTGTCGAGCTCGTCCGTCGTGACGAGCACGTCCGCCAGCGCGAGCGCCGCGGCCTGCGGCACCGGCGGGTGCGCCGGGTCGGCCCACGACATCCAGCGCCGCCAGTGGCCGTTGAGCCAGACGACGTCCAGGTCGGAGATAAGGACGTGGAAGCCGGCGGCGAGCAGCTCCCACAGGAAGGCAACCTTGACGAGGCCCATCTCGAGAAAGTCGGAGCGGTGGTGCCGCATGTACGCCCAGTCGCTCCTCATCTGGTACACCTCGTCGCGCGTGCTGCGCCGCTCATACGTCCACACGTCCAGCTCGGGGATGATGGCGGCCGCGGGCACGCCCAGCTCAGTGCACGCGGTGAGCAGCCGCTTGTCCGCAGCGCCGACCAGGAAGGGCGAGAGGCGCGGCTGCGCGCTCCGCACAAAGTGGATCCAGTTCTTGACAAAGTCCATCATGGAGGAGGTGCCAAAGGTGAAGTGCAGCGTCGTGCCGAGAGGCTCGACCGCCGCAAACTCGGCCGCCGCCGGCGGGTTGAGCGACAGAGCCGACGCGTTCGGGCGCATCCACGCGGGCGGAGAGGCGGCGGCCGCGGGCGGCGCGGCGGCAGCGTCCGTAGCGGGAGCGTCACCGATGACCGCCGACAAGGCTGCTGCTCTTCGTCTGCAAGCTGCTGCTGGTGCTCATGCTACCGCCACCGCTGCCGCTGCAACTCCCACCGTCGCCGCCGCTGGAAGCGCCGCCTCCGCCACCGTCCCCGCCGGGGCTACATCTGCACCACCACGCTGCGCGACATTCTGCCAACGACGACGTCGCAGCCAGCGCGTTGGCTGCCGGTGCACCCTCTACTGAACCCTCCTCCTCCGCCGCTGCCGCCGCTCAGCCAGCCGCTCGTGTGTGTGAGCGAAGTGGCTGCAAGGTTGTGCAACACGCCAAAGAGCCCCGCCGTGGCTAGCAGCGCAACGGCTAGCGTGCGAAGCCGCATGGCGACACAGCAGTGGTCGGGCGCGCCAGCGGCGGTGGTGGTAGTCAGGAGACCTAAAAAGAATTTTCAACTCCGTCGCACAACACTGGGCGCACCCCCCCTCTCCTTAAAATCCCTGTGTGGTGGCGGCGTGCCGTTCTCCCATCCCTCCCTTGGGTTGTCTGTTTTCTTTCTTTCTTTTACACTGGGCACGGGACTGGCGCGCACTGGCACTAACACAGGTACACCACGGGAGCCGCCTAAGCGACTCCTGGCGCGCACTGGCACTAACACAGGTACACCACGGGAGCCGCCTAAGCGACTCCCGCGAGGACGGCGAGGCACTTAGCTCCGTGCACTCGACCGCCCTCGCCGCTGGCAAGCTCATTCACAATCTGCTCTGCGATTGCCGTGTGAAGAACGACTGAGATGCGCTGCTTCTGCAGCCCCAGCCAATTCTTAGTGGTCCAAGTCACCTCATCGAGGTACTGGGCCCGCGTCAGTTTGTTCTGCAGCGCGTTCGCCGCCCCCCAGAGGATCTCGCCGACCCCCTTCCCAAACCCACCGAACGACTCGAACAGCAGCAGCCGCACGTCGACGTCCTTGTCCTCCCTGAGCCGCCACTCACCCGGGTGAGTAGTCTGCGCAGTCTACTCACCCGGGTGAGTGGCGGCTCATATAGTTCGACACAATTGTGCGATGTGCGGGCCCGGCGGTCCATTGGTGTCCTGCGGCTTGGTCGGGTCAGCCAGCGCGAAGGCGTACGCGGTGCCGACGCCCTTCGCCTTGAGGTAGTGGTTGTCTGAGGGAGGGTGTAGAGGATGTAGAGTGTAGAGCGCTGTAGAGCTGTAGAGCTGGAGAGCGCTGTAGAGCTGTAGAGCTCTACATCCGCCGCGGGACGAGGCGCCTGCGTTGTAGAGCGATGTAGAGGCGCTCTACAACGTGAAATCTCTACTCGTACAACAAACTCTACATCATAAGCGGCGAACGAGGCACGGTCGCTCTCCGACATGAGGCGCGTTGCACTTGCCAGTGCTGCCCTGGCCTTCTGTCTGCCCGCTTAATGGGTAGGAGGTGCCTCTGCTGCTGTGCTGTGGCATGCCTCACGGCTGCGACGGCCGGCGCCTCGGCGCGTCAGCTCGGCTCGGCGTAGCGATAGTGGCCAGCGCAACTCGCCTGGACTCAACGCTCAGCCAGGAGCTCCCGCACGCGCTGGCGCGAGTCATGGCGCATGCAACGCGCAGCAATGCTCGCCTCGCCTCGCGCAAATGCGACCGTCCTCGCAGCCGACAGTCCACCGCCTGCTAAAGAAGCACAGCGACGAATGCGGCACCGGCGACACATGGCAGGCTGGTCATGACGCAGTTATAGGGTGTTGTGTGCCGTCGGAGTGACTCTCTGTGTGTCAGGGATAGTCAGGGCTGTCCATCAGAGCTCCAGTAAGCTCGGAGACACCCCATTAGCGCGGCTCGACCTCTTTGAGTCACTGCCTTCCCGGCGGTTTTGCTGTAGAGCCTCTACAACAAACTCTACAACATCGCTCTACAACGGAGGCGCCTCGTCCCGCGGCGGATGTAGAGCTCTACAGCTCTACAGCGCTCCAGAGCGCTCTACATCTCTACAGCTCTACAGCGCTCTACACTCTACATCCTCTACACCCTCCCTCAGGTGGTTGTTTGCGCAGCGGATGTAGATGGGCTTCTCGGGCTCGCGCCACCCGTGAGGGAAGAAGTCGGGCGTCGGGAACATGCTCATGCCGGCCTTGGAGTCGACGCCAGCAGCATACGATCCCGGCATGTGTGGTTCACACCGGCGGTCGTGTCGTACGCGTTGACATGCCCGACAAGCGCGTGTGCCTGCACCGCGTCCATGCGCGCCACGTACAACATGGCGAGCATGATGCACGTGTACGAGAGGACGAGCGGGACCGTCTTGGGCACGTCGATGTCATTCACCGCGCGGAACATGTCGCCCGCGACCTTGCGGTAGATCGGCTGGAACGGGTCCTCCTCGATGGCGTACTCTGCTCCGCCACCTGAGTCAATCGCCGGCCCGGTGGACAGCTCGAGGGGTAGTGCGGCGACGGACTCGACCATCACGCCCATGTTCGAGGGCTCGTCCACGGCGTCGGCCACAGGCGTGTCGATCGAGGCGGGCGAGCCCATGTAGACCGGGATGAGGCACGCGAGCAGGACGAGTAGGATGGAGGCGCCGACGTACGGGCGAGGCAGCGCGGTGACGAACGAGGTGAACTTGACCCACAGCCCGCCGCGCGCCCGTGCCTCCGCCGCGTTGCGCGCCGCCGTCTTGGCCTTGAGGATGGCGGGCGTGTCGGTGGGGTTGGAGTCGGGGAAGATGTCCTCGACCTGGTCGGTGCCGACGCCAGCGACAAAGCCGCCGACGACGCCGTCCGGGTCGAACGTGCGAGTGACAGAGTCGGCCAGCGCCGCCCGCACCTCCGAGTGGTCGGCCGCGATGGAGTCCGACTTCTTGGCGAAGGGGTCGTGCGGGAGGGTGCGGCCGGGGTACTTGGCGCACACCTTCTTGTACGAGGACTGGGCCATGCGCACCTTCGCCTCGTGGTCGATGCGGTCGGGGAGTTCCTCGAGCGCCTTGGCGACAGGGACCCCCTTGCAGATGAGGTCGCCGATGCACTTGCCACCGTGCAATCCGTTGCAGTGGGGGCACGGCTTGCGCCCAGCGGCTGCGCGGCCGCCGCGGTCCCCGCCGCCCTTGTCGGACTTGATCTGCGCCTGGAGAGCGGCGACCTGGGACTTGGCGGCCGCGAGCTCCTCCCTGAGCGCGCCTTGCGAGGCAATCTCCGCCTCGAACGCCGCCTGCGCAGCCGCCTTGGCCTCGTTGGCGCGGTCCGCGTTTGTCTTGGTCGAGGATGCCCTGCATCGCGAGCGTGGACGCCTTGAGGCCGTACGTCTTGCCCGAGTGCGCGGCGAGTTGGCGCTGCATGCCGATCTGCACGCGCATGTTTGCGCCGAGCGTGGCCCCCTTGGCGCCGATCGCGTCGAGGATGTGTTCCTCGATCACCGTGTCGGGGAGGTGCCACTGGGAGCCCTTGAGGAACTTGTTCGCCAGCTCGATGCCCGTCTTGAACTTGGCGAGGCTCGCGGACGTGAGGTCCTTGAGGGCGTCGGGGGAGATCGCCTTTTCGAGGTCCGCGCGCAGCGCCTTCATGCGCACGTTCTTGGAGTTCGCGTCCTCCGACTCGATGAGCGACTTGATCGCCGCGATGCCCTTCTTGATGTCGTCGTAGTGGTCGGCGTCCTCGTCCGCCAACATCTCGGCCAGCGTGTCGTCGCCCTTGACGGCGTTCTGCAGCGCACCGTAGAGTTGGCGCGACAGAGTCTCCGCCAGGTCCTCGAAGAACTTGTCGATCTTGGCCGCGATGTCGTCCGTCTCGCCGGCGTTCTTGTACGCTCGCACGCCCCATTCTGCCACGGCTCGTAGGGGCAGCTGTTGCGGAGGGTGATGCCGTACTTGAGGCAGAGCTCGCGCACGGCGCTGGAGTTGAGGACGACCTCGTTGTCGCAGAACGCAACCCCTCCGCGGAACGTGTGGCCGTCCTTTCCCTCGTTCTCGGCGAAGTACTTGCGCAGGTAGGCAGGCGTCTGGCCCTTGGTCTGCAGGATGTACGGCGTGATGGTGCTGGTGTGCTCGTCGACGACCATGAGTGCGTAGCGGTGCCCATCGACGCCTACCACACCCTTGGGCGACCAGAGGTCGTAGTGCGACGAGCCCCCGAAGCGAGTGGCCAGTGGCCGGCCGGTGCTGCGCCGCGCGTGGTACTTGGCGTTCGCCTGCAGCGCGGCGTCGTCGAGGCCCTCGTTGCGGTCCATTTTGGAGAGGTCTGGCACGCCGTCCGCGATTTTGCTGAGGTCCTTTAGCGCGTCGCCGGAGATGCACAGGGCGTGCCGCCAGAAGGTGCCATCCGTCGGGCGCCGCCCCGGCTTGCCGCGCACGATGGCCTTGGCGGCGTTGGCGCCGACGGATGTGTGAAGGTCTTCAGTGACCACTCACAAGCTGTTCCAAGGCCCGACAGAAATGTACTGTCAAAACTTTGTTCAAACAAAAGTCCTGGCCCGCGGCCCCCACACCCACAATGACTATCAATCCAGGCTGCGGGTGAAGGGCAAAACCGCGCCGCTGCAGAACGGTTTTTGCAAAACCGCGCCGCAGCGGTACGAAACTGCGCAGATGCAGTCCAGGGGTGGTAAGGACACTATGTGTGTGTGTGTGGCCGTAGACTAGACGGCTGCGCGGTCGTCGGTCTTCAACAGCCCCCCATCCTCGCATCGGGTAGCGAGGCTGAGGATCTGAAGAAGCTAGACGACTCCTACATCTCCTACTATCGCGCGCACAATTGCGCAGCCTCCTCAAGGGTGGAGGACGAACATACAAGTGACTCGGGGAGCTCCAGGAGCGCCCATACTGCCGGTTGTCGACTACATTTGATGAAGGGGAAGTCGGCGTTTCCCCTCTGTGCCGTCCTAGGCGGTGTCGTTCATGATCTCCTTGCGGAACGACTCGAACTCCTTGCGCGGGAGCGGCTTGGTGAAGAAGTCGGCGAAGTTCTTGAGGCTCTCGACG